GCACAGGGAGATAGCTCAGGGTGCAGAAGAGTGTGAAGGGATGGACACTGGGAGGAGGTAACTATGGGGAGGAAGTGGGAGGGGAGCTGCTGCATTGTAAATTTTGGTCAATGTCATGAGACAAAGTATATGTGAACTGCTGTATGAAAAGTGAATTTACTCTGTAAATCTTCACCCAAATCCTAATTTAAAAAAAAAAAAAAAGAAAAAAATGAATGTGCTGGAATCTGGGTCCTTTGAGGTATCTCAGAGTCAGGGTAGTATCTTCCCTCTAGAAGGATTAAATGATTGCATAGTGTGAGCCCTCAAAGGCTCTTCAACTATCTCATGCTTTCGTGACACAAATATATTGTGTTCTCATACCCCCCATCCCAAAGGCATTTAATGGAAAGAAAAATCCTTTAACTTCGTTTCTTAGAGTTTCAAGTGCTGTAGCTAAGATTCTATAAACATGGGGACCCTGGGAAAACATGAAGCACACAGAGTCCTGCTTGAACAAAGATGTTTAAAACTCTGCCTGAAAATGATGACCAGAAAAACTTACACTTGTACAGCCAGGAGCATTCACATCTGCCTTGTGGTCTTACTCTCAAGATTGCTGTGTAAAGGAAAAAATGTATTCAGTCATTCGATGAGATGAGTGTCTACTACATGCTAGGTTCTATGAGGAGATTCCACAGTACTTATGCTCTGAATTACCTAAGACATGAATAGAAGTAAATGCAAGAAAGGTAGCGCATAGGTCACCTTATAACTGAGAAACAGAGGAGCAAATGGAGACTGAGAATTAGCGGCCACGTTGTGCTAGGAAATGTACATTATTAACTCATAATCCTCTTCTCAGTATTATGAGTTAATGTACCTATTCCCTGCAACAGGTATTGTATCTATAGTTTATTGACAAGGAACCAAAATTCCCTGAAGCTAAGTCTATTGCCTCATAAGGTGAGGTGTCTATCACGAGCTTTGTACTGAGTTTCCGGCAGAGCCAGGATATGGGGCAAGGCTCTTTCATCAGCAGCCATTACCAGGACTTCCCCACCAGATCAGGCTAGCTCCAGAAAAAGTAGGTCTTAGTGCTCTAGTGCTGCTTAACAGACATACTGCAGTAGACAGCCTGGATGCTCCTACAGTTTGGGAGGCTAGATGTCCGAATTCAGAGTGCCAGCTCCAGGGACTCGGTAAAGGCCCGCTGACCTTGGGCTACTGCTCTGCCTCTTATTCTAGGCCCACTGGAGCTGGAGGATTCTTGTAACTCATGCAGCTGCTGGCTGCTGAGGCTGCTGAATGCAAGGCCAGCAAGAAGAATGGCACAATCCCAAAATCGATAGACACATGGCAGGCCACTGGTTCAGGTCCAGGAACAATCCTCAAATTGTCAGGTAACACAGAAGACCTAGGGATCAAGTCCAAGAACTGGAGCTGAAGGCTCAGCCAAATGCAAAAATATGGAGGTGATTACAATGTCATATGGGGAGTAACTCCATCCAGCTGACCAGCCACTCAAAACCACGGCCCAGCCAAGTTGACACACAACTGGAACCACCAAAGCGCCCAAGTAACATATCCCCATTTTCTTCTTTTAACAAAGTCTCCTCCGTTCCAACCACACTGATGGCCATCCAGCCTCTGCTTAAGCACAGGTAAGGTACTTGTGCCTGTGGTGAAGTAAACTAGCTGTTTGCCTTTCTGAACTGAGAAGGGTATTGTCAAAGTAGTTATCCCTCAGTATCCATGGGAGATTGCTTCCAGGACATCCCGTCCCGTAACAAAGTCCCAAGATGCTCAAGTTATTTGTATAAAATGTAGTATTTGCATATAACCTAGGCCAAACCAAAACCAAACTCATATCTGTGGAGTTGGATCTGACTCATAGCGACCCCTCTTTGGGTTTCTAAGGTAGTATCACTACAGAAGTAGATTGCCCAGTCATCCTCTCATATACCTTAAACCCACTCTAGGTTACTTATAATACCTAATACAATGTAAATACTATGTAAATAGCACTTCACTCTTCCTCTTAGCCTTTGAGGGATTACCTTGACCACATAACTGCCTTTTGTTTTTGTGGTTAGGTGCCATTGAGTCAGTTTTGATTCAGTGACCTTATGCACAACAAAATGAAACAGTGTCTGATCCTGCGCCATCCTCACAATCCTTGTCACGTTTGAGCCCATCGTCACAGCCACTCTGTCAATCTATCTTGTTGAGGGTTTTCCCCTTTGTCACCGACTCTCTACTTTACCTAACTTGATAGCCTTTTCCAGGGACTGGTCTGACAATATGACCAAAGTATGAAAGATGAAGTCTGGCATTCTTGCTTCTAAGGAGCATTCTGGCTGTAGTTCCTCCAAGACAGATTTGTTAATTCTTCTAGCAGTCCATGATACACTCAATATTCTTCGCCAACACCACAATTTAAATCCATTGATTCTTCTATGGTCTTCCTTACCCATTGTCCAGCTCTCATAAGCATAAAAGGATATTGAAATACCATGGCTTGGGTCAGGTGCACCTTAGTCTTCAAAGTGACATCTTTGCTCTTAAATTACTTCCAAGAGGGCTTTTGCAGCAGATTTGCCCAATGCAGTATGTCATTTGATGTCCTGCCGCTTCCATGAGCATTGATTGTGGATCCAAGGAAAATGAATTCCTTGACAACTTCAATATTTTTTGTTTATCATGATGTTGCTTATCAGTACAGTTGTAAGGATTTTTGTTTTATATTGAAGTGTAATAGTGCTTATGGCATTTGACTGCTAACCAGAAGGCTGGCAGTTCAAACCCACCAGCCACTCCTCAAAAGGAAGACTGGGCAATCTACTTCCACAGAGATACTGCCTCGGAAACCTAAGGAGGGGTTGCTATGAGTAGGAGTAATTCCATGGCAGTGAGTTTGGTTTTTGCTGTTGTTGAATCCATACCAAAGTCTGTAGTCTTTGACCTTCATCAGTAAGGGCTTCAAGTCCTTTTCACTTTCAGCAAGCAAGGTTATGTCACCTGGATAATGCAGGTTGTTAATGAGTCTTCCTCCAATCCTGATGCCACATTCTTCTTCAGTCTAGTTTCTAAGATTATTTTCTCAGCATACAGATTTAAGAAGTATGGTGAAAGGATACAATCCTGATGTAGAGCTTTCCTGATTTTAAACCGAGCAGTATCCCTTTCTGTTCAAATGACTGTATCTTGGTCCCTGTACAGGTTCCTCATGAACACATTAAGTGTTCTGGAATTCCTACTGCTTTTTAGGAACACTTTTATTTTTTTCTTGAATATTTTCGATCCTGGTTGGCTCCTATTAGACTGGCTCCTAGTCTAACAATTCGTGGTTGGTTAAATTCGTGGTTGTGGAACCCACTGATACCGAGGCTGACCGTAATTTCTGTGGTTTTGGCTTTCGAAGTCAGGGCATGGTCTCCATGTGACCTGGGTAGTCCACCAGGCTGAGGGCCCAGCGGGCCCCTTTTGATGTGGAGTCAAAGAGTCGCGATTGAATCTTAGATACGATGGAGACTTCAGTTTTACTTGTGAAGTATAACTGGGGCCCAAGGAGAGGACATGACTTGACTAAGGTCGCCTAGACTGGTGGTAGCAGATGCGAGGTTGGAACCAGGTCTTCTGACTCCAGCCCAGCGCTTCCTGTGATCTCTGAATACAGTAACTCCACGTATTCGTTTTGGAATCCTTTCGTATCTGCTTCCCATTCTCCCTTTGACTGGGTGGGAATGTCATCTCCAGTCCCCTTTCAGAAACAGAGTGGTGAAAAGGGGTGTGGGGAAAAGGGTTTTCCGTCAACAAACGGCACCAGTCCACCACTATCGATGGAACACCCGCTCTGTGCTAGGCACAGGGCATCCAGGGGACAGCAAGACGGATTCTCTGCCCTCAAAAACTGACACAGGGTCTTTCCCTAGCTTCGGGCAAATCCCAAGGTCATGATTACCTCCTCTCGGGAGCGGTCCCCAGTCCCTCCAAGGCCCCCACGTGGCCTTGCAGACTCCCGCACCCAGTACCAGGCCAGGCCTGGGCCGCAAGCACCGAACCCAAACCAACAGCATCCAGCATGGGGCGGGGTAGCTCAGGGCCTCAGCGCCCGCCCCACGCGCTCCGCAGCCGGCGCTGCGCGCCCTCGGTCGCCACGGCAACCAGGGAGGTGCTGACCCTTGACCCTGCGGCCCCTCCCGGCCCCGCCCCTTTGCGTTCCCGAGATCAACATGGAGAAGGGCAACCCGGAAGTGTCGCTGCCGCCGCCCGCCCGGTGCTAGGAGCCGCC